TGATTGTTTACAGTGCTTAGATCACTTTTGTTTTACTTTGCTGCATCTGAATATGATTTCTGAATTTATTAATTTAGATTTTTATTTCATTACGGCAGCTTTCACTGTGTGATTTAGCTACTGATTTATTCAAATTCACTATTTGCTTTTTATTATGTACATATAAAACTTCTATTTATTAGATTATATGAGACTGGTTTTTCACCTTTTGTCCCATTATCATTTCCTTACCATGTGTCAGAAATGTCAGCCTCCTAGACTTCAACTGGTAAATGTTCCAAATAATATATAAAACTGAAAATATTTTACTTAGTACACTTTAAAAGTATACAATAAAGTTATGTTTTTCTTATTTAATATTATGTTTTAAAAGTAAAATAGAATGTTTCGTTTGGTTTCACTATGCTTACATGAAGTCTATGTTTAACCTTTCTTGGCTCTTTTGTGTCTTTTAGGTTAATTATGTCATAGCCAGTCTGTGCATGAGTTTGAATGTATCAACCTGATGTCAAACACATCATGTTATAGGGATATCATGAAAATTAATTATTGAGACCATTAAATGACATAAAAGGGTAGCTGCTTTTTAAAACTGACCAACTCTCTAGAATTCCTTTATGTGTCAAATATCTCATTTCATGAAACCGGGAGTTTCTGGGAAGTTTTCGTGCCACATTAGCGCTATATTGAAAGAAATCCAAAGTGACTCAAATTCACTTTATAATGGATGATTCAGGTTATTCTGCTTTTATAATAGGATTCTCATGAAAAATGTAATAAAATCTGATCAGATATTCTAAATTTTTTGTTCTTTGGCTAATTTCGTTTTATAATTTTCTTACACTTTTATGCTCAGAAAATCCTGAGTAAGGAATCATTCAGAATTCATTGAATCATTCAGAATTCATATTCACTCATCATTCAGAATTACATCAAACAAAAGTACACATTATGTCTTGTTATGTCACCCTCATCCAATTTATTAAAAGTAATTTAACTTCAATTATGGAACAACTGGCCACAATTTCACGGTCGACATGGCTAATATGTATGTACCATTATAATTAACCAGCTCTGTGTCGAAAGAAATATTTTTTCTTCACAATGAAGTACCTGCAACTCTACAGCTTCAACTACCCCGTCAAACCTTTTCTTTGCAGCAATTATGGAAGAAAATTTGAATTCAAAATCCAGTTTGTTTCAACCTCTAAAGTGTATGATATATGTAAGTAATAATTACACAAATCTCCTGTGAAATGCAGTTCATTTCATCTTTAATTGTTTAATAATCTTAGTCTAAATATACTTCAGATAATCTTTCATATATCTTCAGATGAAATGCATCAGAAAATTGTTTTGAGAACCTGTACTATTCAAAGCAAATGCTCAAAAGGCTACATCTTCAGAAACAAGAACAGAATTCTCAATAAATGTGAGAACAAAGTTGCAGATTTTACTCATATCAGTTTCATGCAACACAAAAATTACTTAGTTTTGGTTTAATTTGGTAAACATTATTACAAGCTGTATGAAACTAATGCTTTTAAAACATGAAAAAGTACAACAAGCATCAGTTATATTTTTAGATAAGTCAATAAATTATGATACGTGCACCCTCTATAAGATTAATTTTATTTGTTTACATAATTTTGTACGATAAAAAAAATCTATATGTATATATCTAATGTGCATAACATCTGAAGATGTATATTAGATCATTTCAAAAGGCAATAAATAAAAGACAAATTCAATTAGAAAACTTAATAAAATACAGCACACTATGATAAATAACACACAATTTACAGAGCACTTCTCTTGGTACTATATTATATATACATATGCAAAACACATAATAGCATAACCAACAAAGACAAATGAAATTTGTAAAGAAAATCACTGTGCTAATTTCATACAAAATCTTTTACAAGAATTTCCTGCAATTAAAATAAAATTAGCAAAGCTGAATGAATAAAAGCACAGATAAAAATGATAGAATATTTTATGACACACTAACAAATTACGAAGTCTGAAACTAAAACATAAGCAACACTTTGGCAAAAGCATGAATATTCAAAATAATCTTTAATCTTCTGAGAGAATGCATTTGAAGATTTCATCCTTGAAGAAAAATCGAGTAAGGAGAATAATTTTTTTAATATTTTTTTTTTTCTCCTTGAGGGAAGGGATTATTAAAAAGCACTGAAAAAATGTGCCAAGAACTTTAAATTTGTGACTTTGGAATAGTAAAGATATTTTAAAATAAACTTTAATTACAAAAGTCACTTTATGGCCTTTCTTAATCTATTGCAGTGGTCTAAAACTCAAAGCCTGCACGCTGCATGTGGCCTCCGAATTTTACCCACAAATATATTTCAATTACATAGTTGTTGCAATTGAAGTGCTTATAGTTTTAGGGATATAAGATTATGAACTGAGCTTATGAGCACAACTGCACTTAAAGGAATAGCTCTGCCACTGTATGTTTATAGGTAAGGTTATGTAACCAGGATCAGGTGGCAGAATTTCCCACATTAGTATGGTAAGCAAACTTAGTTTGCCAGCTGACAGCTGGTGGCTTCACAGTATTCCATGGTATTCTATAGAAATGGCTTGCAAGTACCAGCCTTTAGACTTCAGATCAAAAATAAATATAAATTAAACATTTTCCCTTTGTATTGTTATTACTGTTTATTTATGTAAGTTATTTTAAATTGTTTATGTAAGTTCATAAAAATTTAACTAGAAAAATTTAAAATTTAGTTTATTTATTTATTTTTGTTAAGTACATTTTCGTGAAAGCAAACCCTCACATTTTCAATCCTAATTCCATTTCGACTGTGGCAACAAACATTGGCTAAAAAGATTATAAATAGACCGGTTAAAATTTTATTAAAAATGTTTTGGTTAGTCAGCTGCTTTCAAATTAAGCATTCAACTCACATGCTTGAGTTTGAGACCACTGACCAATTCATTGTGTCCACGTTTCTTCCAATGAAATGTTTAAAAATAACACGGCATATGACAGAGATAAGAAAATAAAGAATAAAAAATATTACAAGAATATTTACAAAAGAATGATGGATGCTATGCAAAAAATAGAATCAAGAAATAGGTACTAAAGGAGATTGATGGATATTCAGTTGTAATAATTACATAAGCCTATATATTGCATAACACTGCAAATTTTGAGAAATAAATGGCTTATAAAGTATTATACATTTATGTACATAAGTTTCTAAGCTGAAGACTGTCAAAACTGGGGGAAAACAGGCTTGATCGAAAAAAGAAAATCACAGTTTCCTGTTATCACAGTCAAAAGAAAATGACAAATCCTTTAGAAATACAGATTTCTCCAGATTTCAATCATCTCACAACCCATATTTTATTTGTCTCATAAAACACAAATATTTACATTAATACCTGATTATCACTTTTGAATTCATTTTTTTATTCAGTTAGCAATACAGGCAATCCTCATATCTAACAGCTTTACAACTAGAATTGGATAAGTCGCTCCAGAACTGATTCACTTTAGTGAGGAAATAAACAGGGATTTCAGAAAACAGAGGGATAGCTCTCTTTCTATCCAGCAGAACTTTTATTGAAAGCATGCCAGGAATAGAGATGTCCTATTTGTTCATGAACTGATTAACTTTATTAAACGAATGAATGGCTGATATGGCCCCCAAAAAGTACACATTTGAGTTCATTCATGAGAGTACTTGTTGGCAGTGTACCAGAAAAGTGTACTCTCCATATAATAAAGCTTTACTAGAAGATATTAAAATAACTGCTGATGCCCTCATATACCAAGGCAATTTTACGTAGGTTGATCCAAAAAAAGTTTACAAGCAGAAGCATTTCAAACGTAATAATTGTGGAGCGAATATTTCCACCCAGGGTGGTTGACAGATGGCGCTAGTTGTCCTACAGCGTTCTACGAGTAAGCAGCATCAGTACGCAGACATTTAAGAGCGACAGTAATTGCACGATGTCTAGAAAAGTGGTCTCGCATAGAGGTGCAAGCCGTAATTCGATTCTTATGAGCCAAGAATGTGGCCGTATCCGAAATTCACAGACAAATTGTTGAGGTATACGGGGACAAAGCAATGAGTAGACAACAGGTAGCGAAATGATGTCGTTCTTATCAAGCGGGCAGGGAGCATGTGGAAAACCGCAATATGGAAGCGAGCGGCCGTCCAAGTTCTTCAAGAATGGATATGAACACATCATATGTTGAAGAAATCATACAAAGGGATCGACGAGTAACTGTGTGTGAGATTGCCTCAGAGTTGGACCTGAGTTATGGTAATGTTCAGCGCATTGTAACCGATGAGTTGCGATATTCCAAAGTTTGTGCCCGCTGGGTTCCACATGCGTTGTCCGCGGAGCATAAGGCCACTGGAATGATGTGCAGCCTCACATTTCTTCAGCGATACCATTCAGACGGCCAACACTTCCTTCATCGCATCGTTACCGGTGATGAAACATGGCTTCATCACTTCACCACCACAAACAAAAGAGCCTCGATGGAGTGGAAACACGCTGGATCACTGACGAGGAAGAAGTTTAAGGTCACACCCTCTGCCGGTAAAGTGATGACAACCGTTTTCTGGGATACGACTGGTGTTATCCTAATCGAGTGTTTGGAGCGTGACCGTACCATTAAGGCCGATCGTTATTGTGCCACCTTAACGAAATTGCATAAAGTCATTCGACGCAAACGGCCTGGATTACTGAGCAAAGGCGTCATTCTTCTGCATGACAATGCCAGGCCCCATACAGCTCGCCAGACTCAGGAATTTGCTGCAAAGGTTCAAGTGGGAGGTCTGGAATCACCTCCTATACAGCTCCGATTTGGCTCCAAGTGACTATTTCAATTGTCCGGCGTTGAGGCGATACTTATCCGGAACACGGTTCACCTCAAACGATGCAGTGAAAACAGCTGCTGAGAAATGGTTCAATGAGCAGGGCCTGATTAATATCTAGACGGGATAAACAAGTTGGTCAAACGTTCTGACAAATGCCTAATCAGGTTTGGAGACTATGTGGAAAAGTGAAGGCCAGATGTGTCTCTTGATTCCCATTTGTATCTTGTTTCTATTGTTAATAAATACGTTTTCATTTGCCTTGTAAACTTTTTTTGGATCACCCCTCGTACAATATGGAATAAAAAAATGTGTTCTAGAATAAAATTTGGTATTCTCACAACAGGTGACCTATTGAGTATTTTGCCTTTGGTTATGAATATGAACCACATGATCTCACCTGATAGTAAATAATTTTGTCGATCTTGCTATGGTGCCAACACTATGACAATAGAATGTCTATGGAGTCATAGCCCTGTCACCTTATTGATTTGTGGTGGCGATCTGTCAACACCACAAGCTAAATTTTTGGCCATATCAAAAGATATCAGAACATTGTTTGTGTGAATGCAAACTATGGATGGCTATCACCTTTAATTCTTATCTGATTAATAGTAGTAAACAAATATGAAATAGAACTGCTTCAGTTGCAGATGACAAACAGGATTGCTGCTTTTTTTAACGTGTTTAAATCATTCCTTTGTATTTATTTTTTTGTTTTTTCATGTAAAATTGCTTTTCATGTGGTTTAATACAATAATGTTATCAGCTTCTTCAGTTTCTATCCTGCTTCATGGACAGTAGGTCATCAGACAGTGGTTTGTCACCTGTTGCAAGAATACCTTTAATTTTAATTCTAAACCAATATATGTCAATAAGAAAAACTACAAGATATCCAAACAAATTGAAATATGCTTAAAAATTATTATAACATTATAATAAAATATTCAATAAGTAATAATTATAAAATAATTGTGATCCATTTTTCACACATGACTTTTCTGTGAAAGTTTCATTTTACTGGAATCGCATTGCAGTTTGAAGTATTAATAAAAACGATTTTATTTTTTTTATTTATCATTCTAATACTGCATGTCCGAAATGATAATTTCCAGTGTATAATTACAAAAATAATTAAATGATTCCACATACAGCAAACTTATCTAAAATAATTACAGTATGTCTATAAAAACAAATTCATGTATTTTTTCTGGAAGGGGGGGGGCGACTAAGAAAACAAAGTTCAAAATTTTAGCTTAGAAAGCATTCAGAAAACATAAATGTAATCAAAAAGTCTGTAGTGTTATTTTCAGAACATAGATTCTTAAAAAAAAGCACAGAAATCAAAATAAAACTTCACTACTCTATTCCATACCATGAAAATTCTCTTAAGAACAGCAAGTAACCATTTTTTGGATAAAAAAGAGCTAAATTGGATAATAAAGAATTAAGCATAAACTAAGAGGATGTTAGAATTTAGCATGAAAGATAATCCTTTTACGTAAGAATGCTTTCATGGTGATGATTTAAAGGAATACATTGCACAGTATCTCTAACTGATTACCAATGCTTTTTTCTTTAATAACCATATTTCTGGTAGTTAAAAAAGGAAAACAGCATAATTTTGCTTCATTTCAGCCTATGCCTATTTTTTTGTTTAAGTTTTATTAACATGAATTTGTATAATGTGGAATTTTTAGTAACTTAATGAATGTTATTATACAAACATTATCACTTTATCAAAGGGGAGATAATTTTAATGGCATAGCTAATCATATTGAAATAATGAAAAGTCATATAACAATGGATATAATGAACATAAACCCCAAAAAGGTATGTTACGTATCTTATATGATTGATCTTATATATAAGAATATGTAATATCAATCATATAAGATATATCACAAGATAATTAAAATGGTCTTTCAATATATTTGTTTTTACAAATGGAGAACCTAGAATGCAAAATTTTACATATTTTGCACACAGCAAAACCACCAAACGATTTCTCTAATAGTGTTGCTGGCTGCAAAAAAGCAATGTTTATTTTATAATAATTTAAAATATGAAAGGAAATTTTTAGAATCCAAACCCTATTTTGGAATAGAAGACATCCGTGCTAATTTACTTTATGGTCTTTTCATTTTAAGCTCATAATGTAATAATACTATACTATATGCTTAAAGTTTGATTAAATTAAAAATTTAAAAGAACATTCTTATAGAAAAAAACTGAAGCTGAATATAATATTAAATATGAATTTTGAATAGTCTTCAGCAGAACTTACAGAATTTACATAGCTTGACACAGTTTTCACTTGATATAAATACTTCCAGTAAATATGTCATATCTTGAAATGAAGGCAGAAATACAAAATACTCAATAATGCACATATTCCTCCTATAATTTTGTAGAAATATTTCTAATTCCAGAACAGAACTTCAAAATATAAAAACTTCATCATTGTAGAAGCTCCTAAATAAAATATTAAAGAAAATTCAAGTACATAAAACTTAGCACAGTAGCATACATTATCAGTATACTTTATACAGAACTGGTAATTAAATAACATTGCATGCTTTTAAAAAAAAAGGCTCTTCTTACACTACCCAAAATATCAGTCTCATGCACTAAGGAAAATATTAACACAAGCAAATAATGAATGAAGAGATGCCCATTGTTGGTATGACTCTTGAGATGAATGTCACAGTTAAATGTTAAAATCTTTTTTAATGTCCACCTTCCCCCCCGCCCAAAAAAAAGTAATCCCAAAGACATAAAATATGGAGAACAGAAATGATGGTTACGTACCTATGAATTGCTGCATGCAGACTGACCGATATGATTGAACACTACCATGCAGTAAAATATGTTTGGAATAACAGTTTTAGAAAAAATAGTAATTAAAATTACTGGCTTCATTTGCAGTATAAATAAATAGCTCTTTGGTTGTGCACAAGCTTTCGAAATTCAATGTGGTTTCTAGGTGTAGTTATAAACATTAAAAGAACAAAAAAAAAAAAAAAAAAAAAAAAAAAAAAAAAAAAAAAAAAAAAAAAGCTTCAGATTTTAATTGTTGCCTAAAAGGGCTACTTTAAAGATTAATATGGTTTACCAGTACAGATCATCGTTAGAAATGGTCCAGGCAGAATAGCAAAACATTTTATGGGTTGCCTGGTGAACAGACATTTAGAATGACATGGGAACATTATGCATCTTCTGCATATTTGAATAGTGAAAAAACATATTACCTAATTCTATAAAAATAATGAAATGTTTTAATTACATATGTCATGAATTAAGTGCATTTTTATTTATACCAATCTGATTAAAAAGTAAAATAAATAATAGTCTTTAAGAACTGTATCTACTGTTTTTCAATAGCTTGATTTGTTAATTCATAACAGATAGATTTAACTGGAAAGAGTAATAAATATCTTACATTTTACTGAATAGCAACAGACTCAAATGAAAAGTGATTCTGCCCAAAATCTCACTTCAAGACTAATAGCCCTTTCAGGCTAAAAACAAAAAATCTCAGCATGTATTAGCCATCCTGTATTAGGAAATTAATAAATAAATGAATATTTTACACTCAGTATTTAATTTCTGATGCAATAACACTGCCAGAATACCTAATGAAACAAAATGATAAATAATAATAACCTAAAAATATTAAAAAAATATAGTAAAGCATTTGGCCTTTATTTTATTCCAGTATTGTATTCTTATATCAATGCTGTTAAATCACATCCGCACAAAATGAAATATTAAGATTTTTACAATGAAAATTAATATAAAATATTTAGTTTTAAGTTAAATTAATATAACATAATAATTAATAAAAAATTATAATTTATATCTGTATCTAAAAGTAAACTTTAATCTTACTTTTGGATCAACAGTGGCATTTTATATGATTTTAATGATAGCAAGGTGGAATTAGGTGAAGGCTCATTTTTAACTAAAAGTCAAGTTGTAAGAATCAGGTGATCCAGAATCTCTCCTTTCAGCCCAAGGAGTTAGGTCATGAAAAAGGTAGATATTGGATCATCTGGGATATCACAAAATACAGTGAGATATGAAGACCTGGATGTCTTTCTGAAAAAAGAATCAAGAGTTCTTTCTAGTGCTCCTCCCCACTTTTCTCATGATAAATGGGTAATATAGAACCAATGCTACCAATTAATTTCAGTTCTCTTACATTCTTCAATTAGAACATCAAGAAATTTAATTTTTAATTTTTTTGCATTTTTATTTTGATGTTGGAAATAATAATTTCAGATTGTTAATATTAGCCAATCACATCACAGTTAAATAAAAATTAAATCACTTTAACAATGATCTCATCTTAAACACATCACATTTGCTTTCTGCTTTTCTTGCTAGCTAGCCAGCTGCTTTGCCTGTCTTTAAATATCTCTTCAAAATTGTACACAGTATTAATGTAGTTCTTTAAGAACAGATATTTATCTATATTAGGATGACAAAGTTTTTAAACTAAAATAAAAAGAAATGTTAAAACTGGCCATGATTGCAAGTATCTCTCTCTTCTCTTCAAAATAATTACATTTTCTACAGGAATCTTAAAATCAGCCACTACCACTGTTATATTTTATGAGTCAAGCTTTGTCACTGTGTAAATCATGTTCTTTGCTATGCAATCAATTTTTAAATCATCACATATATACAGGGTTGCCACTCAAACAGGAGAATGAAATTCCCTGACTTTTCCAGGTGTGTTTCAAGAAAATTCCAGTCTATCCGCGTAATGTACGTTGGCTGTGCTAAGAGGTAAATTAATTATGGTATTACTTGTATTGTGTAGCAAATTCACTTAATTATTCAATAAATCCCAGAGGACATTTATTCTTAATTATTCTTGGTATACTTTGTTTGATAATTTTGTTTAGTTTTCCACTTAAGAAACTTAATAAAATTTAAGATATATACATTGGATAACAAATGTATGTTTTATTTAATTATTACTCATGATCATCACCAGTTTCAACACGAGGCTAATCCGGTCCTTATAAATCACAACGCAATGCTAAATAGTTAGGTTAGATTTTAGGTAAATTTAATTTGCATGAGGTATGTTCTTAAAAGGCACCTTAACACTTGGAAACACAAATATAATTATATAGTTGTTGTTTTCTCCACTGAAGATTGAGATTAGAATCTTCCCAATCTGGAATAAAAATAAGGCTTTTTTTGGCAGACGTTCTGCAGCTAAACGAAAGAAAGAAATCTATTTTAATAAATTGAGGTATTTTATATTTATTTTGCAGCATACATAAGGAAAAAATATGTGTATTAAATTTCGTGATGGTATGTCATCATACTACTATAATTAATTTTAGGATTATGCCAGAGAAAATTTCCTGAAATTTGGAAATATTATTTACTAATAATAAATAAATTTAGAGGGAAGAAGCAACATTAAATTATATGAATAACATAAAAATATTACTTAAAAATTGAATTAGAATAATCAACGATATTTTAGCGAATATAGTTATATTACATGGCTAGCCTAGATGACTGATTACTATTTTTTTATTTTACTGCAAAATGGCAAGGTATTTATTAAAAAGGAAAAAAAAAAAATAAAATAAAAAAATAAAAGGTTTAAAAAGATTTTGCGGTAAAATTCTAGTATACGGTAAGGCTTTGGAACGATTTTGAAAATTGTCGCCAAGACCAAAATGACCCGTTTACTGCGCATCGTGATGTCGCAAAATCCCATTATTACTCTAAACAAAGAACGTCTATGTAAAGAAAAAAAGGTTCCATACAAGTAAAATGCTATTACGCCGTTAGAATGCGGAGGGAAAATTTGTCAAGGGATTTGGCGACGGAACCTGGCGGCCAGAATTTCTCTCTTCGCGATGTGACAGGAAATTGAGAAACACGTGTTAAGAAGAAACGCTCTTTGACAAAAAGAAAACTACGAAAATCCGTTTTAAAAATTATTGCGAAAAATCCACGCAATAATTTTAAAAACGGATTTTCGTAGTTTTTTTTCCCCCTGAAAATAACTAATCCATGAATTAATTTACTTGCGCCAAAAAATATTTTCTTTTCCTTTAGAATTTAACCACTTGCGTTAAGACTAAACTTCACGGTTGCGGTGCCGTGCGCTACGATATAACAAGCGGTAAAGTGTTCTCATTTACGCCGCTCCAGCATCTGCGAGTGCAATCCAGAGCTGTAACTTAGAGAAATAAAAAATCTCGGTTGTTAAGCGACGTGTGCACCACGTTATTTTCATTTTTGCGATAAGTGCTTATCGACATGGTGTTCACGTCGCTCACGGTTTGAGACAAAAGCATCCTCGACGTGCGTGGCACGTTCTTTTTAGCGCAAGTGGTTAAAGAAATTTTAAACGATATTCATTTTATGAACTCTTGATAACGTGACCTTCGAACTTCGACACCGGTTTCGATCTTCGGCGACAGATATATCAGACATGCACAGCTGTTTCCCTCTATGATGGAACGGAGCCACGTCTGTTGCAGAAAAGTTTTCCTTCTTTACAATACATATTCTTTGATTCTAACCTCCATGGTACCATATACTAGGATTAAACCCATTTTGTTTTATACGAGAACAGGTACTTTCTTTAGTTCATGCACTGCACATGCGATTCTCGAGAATACTGGAAACCAAAAGTTGCGGGAAAGTTGCTTTGCCTTTCTAAAAAGACAATCAAATTGGAGCTGCGAAAATTGGCTCTATGCCAGCTACCCGAATGACACTCACGTGATACATAATTCGCCAAAAAAAGTTATCTCTTTCCGACGTCGGCGCAAAAATCGCTTTTTTGGCGGCCATCGTTGTATGAACTTCCCTGACTTTTCCAGATTTTGACAAAAATACTTAAATTCCCTGAAATATTTTGGTCAATTTTCGAATTCCCTGACTTTTCCCGGTTCTCCCGGTTTTCCAGGTAGCGTGGCAACCCTGTATATATGACCACCATGAGCTATATTAATGATTTTTTATTAAATACATCCTCTGGTCAGTTTCTCATTTTATCCCAGTTATTTGATAAAATTTTTAAAATGCTAAATATAGGAGAAGTAAAAATAGGGCAGTAAATGGCGATTTGGTGATTGTAAAATAGTGATTTGGAAACAAAAATATCTCCTCTATTACTCCAATTGTTGCCGATCTAAATATTTTGTATCAAAGTACTTTTAATGTTGCCTAGATGTTTTGCGTCAAAATTTATGGCACGTGGCATGTTTTTTTTTTTTAATCCATACATTCCCCCCCCCCCAGAATTTATAATAGCATGTACCATATGCAATCTATATATTTTTATTTCATCTTTTAGATAATTTGTTTTAATTAAAGTTGGCAACACTGGAACTTCTATCTCAATGGAGTTCAAATTGCAAATCAGTTTGCAATTATGCAGATACACAGTACTGTGCTGCCAAGACAGTATTGTGGTTAAGCGAGCCTACAGTGGAACCAAAGGGCCAAATTCAAAACCCAGAGAAGGCATGGCAACAGTGAATGCATATCAGGTGCTTCCACAATAAAATTGGAACCACTTCTGGCCTTAGGAGTGGCCAATGCTGAACAAGCAGTGGATAATATATATATTGTAATGTAAAATCGATTTCACCTCCAAAAAGGAACTAAGTTTACTAAAAGGATTATCTATTTTTTTAAAAATATTAGTGATCCTATTGATTTAGTGGAATATGAACTGTGCTTTTCAGAATCTCCAAAAGGTTTTCATGAAGGTTCAGACATAAAAACCACTTGAAATGTGTGAAACATAAGGCAATCTTAATAGCAGTAGCAGGAATTCTTTAAACATACATTTTATGACAAATGTCTCTTATACGGAGATATTGGAAAACAGTTTTGGATAAGAATCTCTTATGTGGATAACCAGAAATGAAATAGCATGGTTTGAGATTGATGTTTTAGGCAAACAAATTATTTAAATTGCTGCAAATAATACAATAAAAATGGATCAACTTTTTGATGAAGGTAGTGATTGCAAAAACATTTTGGTCAGTATGAAAGTATAAAATTTGAAGATAAGTTGTAAAAATGATTGATATAAATTTTCAGTCATTTCATTACAAGGAAAAAACATTGCTCAATCTTGTTCAGATTATAGAATACATTTTTAACATGATGGGTACATCTTTACCAGTTGAAAGAGTTTTTCTCAATTATGAATAGCATGGCTTGAAGAAAGCACTAGAATGGCTGAATTTGACCCTAAAAGCTTTACTTTGCTGCAAAATTAACATTGAACTAAATTGCAATGAATTTTTCGATGCCATTAAAACTAACGAAGAATTTGTAAAGTTCATACCAGTAACAAATATTCATAAGTTCTTAATGTACAGTTGAGTTACTAAAAATTGCTTTTAACTAACATTTTATTAACAACTTCTTTATTTAGCCTTTTAAATCATAGGTATTTATCTAATAAATTTTATTTTCTGTCATGAATATTTTCTCAAAATTTTCTTGTTTTCAGAAAAAAATATTTTGGTTAGCCTAATCACATATCATTTAAGTCATAATTCATTTTATATGAGATCAAATAATCTTTATAGGTGAGCATATTTTACGATTCCAATGGTAAAAATTATTTTAAGTAACTTAGGTAATTAATTTAGTTATAGTAAGCAGCATATATAACAAGCCATTTAGACATTTCAATAAAAATGAAACTATACTTCATGTAATTATTTCTTTCAAAATTATTAATTATTAAAAATATAGTTCTTAAATTATTAAAACCATAGTTTATGGTATCATTAAAACATTTTTTTAGATCATTAAACATGTCAAATCTCTTCTATAATAGTGTTTTAAGAATGCAAAAAGAAAGAACAGAAAAGACTTTTTAATAATCTATGAGCTTACATCATCAGAATCAATGGTGGCATCTTCGGATCTCACAGTCATTTCAGATGACATTAAACTTCTGTCAATGGGCACAGGTATGGAGCCATTTACAGCTTTATTGGACATAACTGTTTGAGACCTCACTAACAAAGTTGGCGGAGAAACATCCTAAAACATAAAGTAGTATGGATGTTACGCACATATGATAAAAATAAATAAGTGAATATTAAATAACAGAGTAAGTTTATTATGATACAAATAAAAAGATCAGTACTATAAAATACACAAAAAGCCTTTGTTTTTAAAAAATCAAAAGTGGCTTATATGAAATCAACATCAGATGGTATTCTTGCGATAGGTGACCTACAGGGTTGTATCTACAAAAACATATGGTCTACCCTGTATTTGGCTTTGGTTATGAGGAGGAATTATGTGATACACCCACCTGTCATTGGACAATAGAATGTCTATGAGGTCATCTTAAACAAATAACTGCATGGAATATGAGAAGAACAACACTCATGATGCTTCTTCATCATCTTGCTGAATTGTGGTAGTTATCCGTCCACAATGGAGACCAAATTTCTTGCTATGTTAAGATGCACCCAGATAGTGTGCATGTGAATGAAAAATAGAAAGGGTTTTTGATATTATTATATTATACTAGTAAAACTATGCAACTGATTACTGATCCTAAAATTACTTCTAACAAATGAGGGTTTTTAGTATTATATATTATAACAGATTATACTAGTAAAATTATGACAACTGACTATTGATTCTAAAATTACTTCAATTAACAGATGCCAAATAAGATTCCTTTATTTGCTTTTTTAATGTATTTAAAGTACAATGGTGACCAATGAACATTATGAAAGGTCTTTTACATGGTCACATTAGTGCAAATTGCCTTCTGTTATGTTCTACAGTCAAATACCGAAAATCCGCCGACCTGAAATCCGCGTTGCCTCTCAGAATATAAACATTCAGTTTATAGGTTATGGAAACCGCAACATTGAGTACGAAATACCGAAGAAAAAACTACTTTCTGAATAATGATGTCATAATTATCGAATAATAATGGGTTAAAATGGAAATACCAAATTATTGATATAAAAAAGTTAAAAAAAATAAGATAAATAAGATAAGTTTTTTCCCCTCTAATCTGCATCAAGGTAAAAAGCAGATGATTCACTCAACACTTTGTTCAAGTTCACGATTCACGTTGTATTTTCTGAGCTTTGTTATTTCATTTCACGAGATTGTTTAGTGCTGCCTTTTTTTAATCTGGATATTTTGTGGATAAATTAAGAATATTTTTAATTTCAGCCCTTTATAATACAATGACAGATAAGAAACGCACTCATGATTTTACAGATAAGAAACGCACTCATGATACTGGATTTGCAATGTTGAAAAACATAAACACGTTGCATTGACGGTAACGCAAAAAGTGCAAATTCTGCAAAAGATGGAAGCAGGTGCTACTCTTTGATTTATAGCAGAATGGTATGGAAATGTGACTCGATTGTGTATGATATACGGAAAAATAAAGAAAAGCTGTAGAAATTTTACAGCAACAATGATTCTAATACCGGAATCCGAAACTGGAAATCTTTGTATGAGGCGAAATCGGCAAACCTTGATGCTGTGTACATGTAATACAATGAATAATATAATCAATTTATATATGTAATAATAATTTAATGCATATATAAATTATTGCAATAAGTATAGAAAATTTAATTAAATGTATCTAATATGCCTTATTCCTTTTGCACTTTTAGTCTGAATATTATGCTTTATCTTTTCTGTCCTGAAATCCACAAAATTCTAAAATCCGCACAACGTCTGGTCCCAAGCTTTGCGGATTTTTGGAATTCTACTGTATAACTTAATATAATAATCTGGTAATGTAATGAAAGTATATACATATAATTACTTCATATATGTTTGTTTACTTATATACTGCAGCTTTTGTGTAATTTAATATGATAAAATTATCAGTTTCTTTGATTTTGATCATGATTCGTGGGATACAGGTCATCATACATGTGGTAAGTCACCTGTTGCAGAATACTGAAATTTTTAATTCAAAACCAGAGTATACATATAAAAAAGGCCATAAAATAGCGACACAAATTTGAATATGCTTAAAAAATTAATTATATTAATATGTAGGTTGTTTTTTTTTTCAACTTCCGATCGCATAGTATGATGGCCAGATATGCAGCAGGTGGTTGGTGTGCATAGTAGGCGACTGCGCATCTCCCCTTCCACTCGCTCTGTCACTGGCATATTCAACACACCATTTTCTGTTGAGTTGCAGTCATGTAAACATGGCTGTCGCTACTGATTCTCCCGCCAAGTATGAATTGCAAGCTGTTATTCATTTCTTGCAGGCAGAAGGGAACAGTACAGCGGAAATTCATCGAAGCACGAGTTGAGTGTATGGAAACAGCTTTATGAGTGATCGCGTTGTTCGTGAATGGTATCGAAAGTTTAAAAATGGCTGAACTGATGTGCATGATGAAGAGGGTCAAGGACGCAAGTCTGTCGCTACAGAGGACATTGTTCAACGAGTTGACCAAGCGGTTAAGCAAAATCGAAGGTTCACCATAAGTGAATTATCGATTAAATTTCTGGAAGTTTCAAGATCTTCCCTGTACTCTATCGTTACTGAACAGTTGCGCTCACTGGGTCCCACAGATGTTGACTGACGACCACAAAACTCGCCAAATGGTTGCAGCGTTTGAGTTTCTTGACCGTTACAATACTGACGGAGAAGAGTTTCTGAAATCCATTGTGACAGGTTATGAGACGTGGGTTCAATATGACACGCCCGAAACGAAACGACAATCGCAACTGTGGATGCACACAAATTCTCCGAAGACACCCACAAAATTCAAACGAACCTTTAACGACCGTAAGGTTATGGCAACTGTTTTTTGGGACCAAAAGAGCTGCGTTGCTTGGGGAGTTTTTATGCAGCCTAAAACAACAATTAATGCAGATTCATATTGTGAAACTTTGAGACGCTTACGGAGAGTTATTCAAAACAAACGAAGAGCATGCTGACTTCTGGAATTCTTCTAATCCACGACAATGCCCGTCCTCACTCCCCTCCTGAACTGAATCAATGGCTTGGCGGGAAGAGCTTCCAAAATGACGTGGAGCTGAAAGAAACCGTCATAACTCACTTCCAATCATTGGCGGGGACATTTTATGAAGAGGGTATTGCAAAGCTTGTTCACAGATATGACAAATGCCTCAATCGTCAAGGTGATCATCTAGAGAAGTAACCTGTATTGTACATTACGTTTGGTAATAAAATCTTTTTTGTATATTCACCCGTTTTTTCTTTATAGCCCATCGGAGGTTGAAAAAAAATAGCCCTCCTATTAAAAAGATAATAAACTTTTCAATAAATAAAAATAATAAAATAACTGTGAATCACTGCTTTCATAAATGACTTTGCAGCAAAAACTCCACTTCAATGCAATCTCAATGTAGTTTGATGCATAAATAAGAACTATTTTATTATTTTTTTATTTATCATTTTAGTACTTCATGTCCCAAATTATAATTTTCAATATATAATCTTGAAAATAATAAAATGTTTCTTTATAAAACAGATTTACCCAAAATAATTCGGTATGACTATAAAAACAAATTCATATATGTTTCCTAGGGGAGGGGAAGCTATGAAAACAAAGTTCACAATTTCACCCTTAAAATCATATATATAATCAAAAAGGCTGGAGTGTTATTTTAAGAACATATATTCTTCCACTGAAAAAGTACAAAACTTAATATAAAAATTCACTGCTCAGCTCCATACTATGAAAATTCTCTCAAGAAATAAAAGGGTAAATAATTTTTTTTTGGATAAAATAGAGCACAGAAATTAGGATCACACATAAGGAAACCACTTAAATTGCAAAATAGGGCTGTTTAAACTGCTTTTCTAATATGTTTAAAGTGTAGCGATGACCATTGAGAGATATAAGTCTTATTCAGCACATCAGTGTATTCTTCTAATTGTGTTGTATAATTTTATGCAATAATAAAAAAATGTCAAATATCTTATGGTAATACAATAAAGATAAGCACATATAATTTCTTTGTATTTATTTATTTATGTACTGCTGCTTTTTGTGTGGTTTAGTACAATTATGTTATCAGTTCTTGTCATGAGAATACTGAATATGTATCAAAAGCTTATAAATCTTTAATGTTAAAACTAGCTCTCTTATTCAACTAAACGAAAATCAAATTTTGAATAATCTGAATCTTAAAAAATCTTATACTTTGAATTTACTCATTCACTAATTGCAAGACTTTGCTTTCCCTGAGTTTTATCTCATTCTTAGTTATGCTTCCCTTTGTTGTAGTTCTTACTGATATAATATACAGTCGAAGTAAAGAGAAAAGAAAGAAGAAGATTACACACCATTACCCAATATAGAATACACCTATGCCTCGATCTACATGGTACTCGTTTAACATGATTTCGGTTTTACACGGTTTAAAAATTAACGGATTTCAAAAACTTGGTAAAAATGTACGTTCATCTGCATATATGCATATACATAGTATATTTGAAGTCATGTTTGAATCTCATTCCTTTGGTAATACTGGTAGCAACAACAAGGATGGAGATTTCCCGTGTTCTTAAAGGTCCCCACAGTATGTACGAGGGGTAATCCAAAAAAAAAGTTTACAAGGCAAATGAAAAAGTATTTATTAACAATAGAAACAAGATACAAATGGGAATCAAGAGACACATCTGGCCTTCACTTTTCCACATAGTCGCCAAACCTGTTTTAGGCATTTGTCAGAACATTTGACGAGCTTGTTTATCCCATCTTGGTAGTAATCAGGGCCCTGCTCCTTGAGCCATTTCTCAGCAGCCGTTTTCACTGCATCATCTGAGGTGAACCGTGTTCCGGATGAGTATCGCTTCAACACCGGAAAAATGAAATAGTCACTTGGAAGCCAAATCGGGGCTGTATGGGGGTGATTCCAGACCTCCCACTTGAACCTTTGCAGCAATTCCTGAGTCTGGCGAGCTGTATGGGGCCTGGCATTGTCATGCAGAAGAATGACGCCTTTGCTCAGTAATCCAGGCTGTTTGTGTCGGATGACTTTATGCAATTTCGTTAAGGTGGCACAATAACGATCGGCCTTAATGGTATGGCCACGCTCCAAATACTCGATTAGGATAACACCAGTCGTACCCCAGAAAATGGTTGCCATCACTTTACCGGCATAGGGTGTGACTTTAAACTTCTTCCTCGTTGGTGATCCAGCGTGTTTCCACTCCATCGTGGCTCTTTTGGATGAGGTAGTGAAGTGATGAAGCCATGTTTCATCACCGGTAACGATGCGATGAATGAAGTGTTGGCCGAAGTGAAGAAATGTGAGGCTGCACATCATGACTACGCACGTGGAACCCAGCGGACACAAACTTTGGAATATCGCAACTCATCAGTTACGATACACTGAACATTAACATAACTCAGGTCGAACTCTGAGGCAATCTCACGCACGGTTACTCGTCGATCCCTTTGGATGATTTCTTCACATGACGTGTTGCTATCCGTCCTTGAAGAACTTGGACGGCCGCTCGCTTTCATATTGCGATTTTCCACATGCTCCCTGCCCGCTTGATAAGAACGACACCATTTCGCTACCTGTTGTCAACTCATTGCTTTGTTCCCATACACCTCAACGATTTGTCTGTGAATTTTGGATGGGGCCACATTTTTGGCCCATACGAATCGAATTACGGCTCGAACCTCTATGCGAGACCACTTTTCTAGACGTCATGCCATTACTGTTGCTCTTAAGTGTCTGTGTACTGACGCTACTTACTCGTAGAACTGCTGTAGGACAACTAGCGCCATCTGTCAACCACCCTGGGTGAAAATATTCACTCCACAATTATTACGTTTCAAATGCTTCTGCTTGTAAACTTTTTTTTTGGATTAACCTACGTACGTATATTTCACAACAGCAAAGTTATTTGGTACATGTGAACTAGTGCAGAATCAGTATTTTAGCAAAGCTTACATCATTTTTATCTACATATTTGAATGATTACTAGTAAGTTTTCAACATTTATATTTTTTGTGGCATTTTTATAATTTATGTAATTTTTTTTGAGGTTTTATAATGGCAAAAGATTTGAAAGAAAATCAAATAAGAAGAAAATGTGTAATAGAATGTAATAGAAAAAGAGTAACAGATGTTGCTAAATTTTAATCCATGAATGAAGCAACAATAAAGACAATTAGAAAAAACGTAGACTCTGGCATTGTATATCAAACAAACCTTCAGGCATATTTTAGAAAAAAATGGAGAATGATAAATCTCTTACTCTAAAGTCTATTACAAAGTCTTGTTGATCTCAGATCTTCCCTAATTGGTCAAACAGTGAAGCAGAATCTTATCAAGAATGCTCAAGTGATGCAAGTGACATCATACCAATCAAGAAGAAAAGACTGATAGTTTATGAAAGTGATGACAGTGATTAAACTTATAATAATTTTTTCGAATGATCTTATATTTTCCTAATGTAATTAATGTCTAATTCCTAATGTCTTACTTTTTGTTTTATGTAAATAAATAACTAAATTATACACATTTAGTATGTTTTTCTTTTTACACTGTTTTATAGATTGCAAAATACAAGATTTTGATTTACACGGTTTTGTGCGGAACTTATCTTCTGTGTAAATCGAGGGATTAGGTGTACGCGTATTTCCTGAAATGTCAAAAGTCAATCATGTGCCCTGTTATGTTAAGTGTAAAGTGCTTCAGGAAATTATCTATAACTTCCTCTTTAGTTTACGGGTCATATACTTCCATTCTTTTTTTTGGGGGGGGGCTGTTGTTGTATAATATGAATATGAGCCAATTTGCCTCAAAATGTCCTCTATGAAAACATCTCTCCTCTTAAGCAGATAGTCTCTGCCTTTGCCACATTCAAATAAACCTAACCTAATCTTTCAGTTTCTTTTATTTACATACCAAAGCATAAATCATATGGCAAATATTTGTTTTTCAAATTAAAACTTATGATTGTTAATGAAACAGAAAAAAAGAGCAGTCAGAGAAAACACTAGCAGAAAAATGAAGATTTTAATTTTCAAAAGCTTAATCAGACCCATTCTTACACATTCTGCTGAAACCTGGGCATTGACAGAAAAAGCTGAAAGTATCATTTCTGTCTTTGAAAGAAAAGTTTTGAGAAGTATTTTTAGTGGCATAAAATGTAACAATATTCGGAGAAGAATTAACTCTGAACTCTATAAATCATTTAAAGAAATAGATATTGTAAAATATATAAGGATTCAGAGAATTAAATGGGCAGGACATTTGTGCAGAATGGATGAAAATTGAATAACTAAAAAGATCTTCTCGGCCAGACCATTCGGCACCCGAAAAAGAGGGAGACCTAGACTTAGGTGGCTCGACTGAAAGAGAGAAACATGCTGTCAAGGTGAAGAGAATTTACACACTGAGTAAATTTCATTCATTTTATGCACTTCTACAGAGATCCATTTACTAAAGGATCTCTTTTTAAACACCATTTTTTTAATTTATGAAGTGCACTGAAACTCAGTGTTTGCATATTTCTGATCTATAGATTACAGCAAAATACACATTACAATTTTAAAATTAAAATTAACAAAACATATTTTAAGTTAAACACATTAATAGAGCAAAATGCAAATAACTATATTTTGTAATCTTTTTTTGCATGCAAACTTAAATTACATTTTTTAACTTATGCATATAAGTTAAAAATGATAATATAAAATTATCATACTTCTTCTTCATCATCATCATAATCATCTTCTTCCTCCGTAGATACATTAACTAAAGCTTGAGACTCTGTTTTATCATCTGGGCCATAAACTCCATTAATTTCTGTTTTTAATGAAGAGTACCTATAAGTTGGTAGTCTGAAAGAAAAAGCCCACAAGAAATTTAAGTATGCAATGCATACAAATAATAAACTTGTAACATGTTTGGATAAAATGAATATTTTATGAGGCATCAATAACTTGAAGAATCAAGAGGCACACAGTTAATATATATATATATATATATAAAAGAAGAAAGAAAAAATCTAAATGGCTACACAATAGGATTTGTTAAGGTTTCTTTTATGCTCTAACTGCACTTAAAAATTACCAATCTGGACTTGGAATCAATCCTGCTACGACAATTTTTTCCTCCTTTTAAACTTTTTTTTAATTAAACATTTTTTAATTCTAATCCATTAAACATATTTTCTTTGCATTTACATAAAATTCAACTGCAAAATCACATTTTTAAAAGACCACATTTTCAGAATTCCTGATAGACTGTTAAGCATTGCCATACACTTTTCTATTTTTTCCAGTCTTTTCTCAGTTTATCATATCAATGTTCAATTTTCTTGATGACCTGTACAACTTTTTTGTCCTTATACCTTTATTATTAAATATCACTTTCTTCCCACTTACGTCACATAAAATTCAACAATAAAATCACAAAAATTTTAAAAGCAGTAACAATTCTTTGTTGATGCCATTAATTGTTTTCCAGTCTTTTCTCAATTCATCATATCAACGTTCAGATTAACATTACTTATACAGCTTTTCTTGTCTTTTCATAATTGATATTTTGTCTTAAACTTCATTTTTAAACATTTCATGTTTTGAAAATTCATAGAAAAACAGACACTACACACTTAAGAAGACGTGTGCCTTCTCCAGGATTCGAACCCAAACCTTTCAAAACAACTATCCCGTCTTGTGACATACAATTTTTTAAATTCGCGATATTATTTCCTTAAAAAATTACCAAAACGTTGGCAGAAAAATCATAGATTTGGGTGATGATTACTACCCACACTAAAGGTACTGCTTTCATGTTTTTATTTTTTGATGATTTTTATGAGGTTGATCTGTTTTGGGACTTGTAGCCAATGTAACTTGCAGCCTTTCATTTTTTTCTAACTTTATTAAGGTTTTTAGGCAGAAAACTTTCATTTCAACTAGATGTATTGAAATAAATACAAATATTACACACACTTGCCAATGAATTAGAAGCCCAAGATTGATATTTTATCAGACCACCTTTTGCACGAATAACTGCTCTGATTTTACTTGTGGGCATTGAGTCCACAAGTTTCTGGAGTGCATTTACATCCAGAGAATATCATGCACAGGTCATGCAGCTTTTTAGATCTTGCAAATTAGGTGGAAGAAGAGAGTACTGTAGAATGTATCTTTCCACCTTATCCCACACATTTTCTATGGGGTTAAGATCCAGGGTATGTGGTGGCCAGGAAAGGTGAGGAAGTCAGACTGATGTTCAGCAAACTTATTTTGAACACTTGTGGCATGATGTATTGCATTATTGTCCTTGAAGTATATCTTGCAATCAGGATAGAAATGCAGCATTTCAGGGTGCACTTGATCTGCAAGTATATACATTTTTGATGAAACTGAAAAATTGGTGAAATGAATGCAAACATCATAAAATTTCAACTGGACTTACTATATTAATTTATATTGACCCACCAGCAGCTGAAAAGTAACATGAATGAATACTGGTAGTTGGGTTGGATTCACATTTTTGTGAGCTAGCTGGTTGCAAGTAGCCTCTTGTGTAATGTGAATATCAACCAATTCCCCTTAAAATGTCCTCAAGGAAGCCCCTTCTCCCTTTTGTGCCTTGGTCATAATACAAATATTCCAATTTTTATTTATATTTTGCATATAAAGACTTCAATTGTCATAAACAGAGAGGTATCCTGTAAGTTATTGTCTGCTATCATTTTGTTTTCAGCCAAAATGTTACTTTTAAAGAAGCAATGAATGAAAAGCTATGTTTGTATTCTCTCTGAGGAAAATTATTTGTATTTAGTTATTAAAAAACGCCGTGAAAGCCATAGTTTTTTTATATCTAAATGTTGTCCACAACAAAGAGGAAAAAAACATCAACATTTAGCTTTAAGTGGAAACATTGCTCCAAATATGTATCTAAGGAAAAAACAGAATGTTTCAAATGTTGCAAAAATGAGATCTTTAATGTCAAAAGAAAATTCGCCAACTCAAAGCACGGTTGCAAAATCATTCAAATGCTAAGTGTCAGCTGTAAACAAAGTGATTAATGCTGATTTTTATCTTAAGAAGGCAAAAAACATAATGTGCATCATTTCTCTCTATGACATGTTGCCGAATAAAGAATGCACTGCAGAATAATTCTTTATGAGAAACATTTACCAGTGCAAAAATGGAAAAACGTTGTCACAACAGATGAATCGTTGATGTATTTAAATGACTGCAATAAAAAGAGATCCATTTATTACCATCAAAGAGGAGAAGAAAAAAAATCTTAAAACATGGTTCACGGAATACATAAAAAGTTTTTCTAACGGATTTATGATTGTTGTGGTTTTTCATATAACAGCAAATTAAAAATAAAGAGAGTGGAGAAAATGTTAAAATCGACTCCACATGTTATCAAAAACATATTGTATACCAATTTTCAAACATGAAATACCTTCTCTTTACACACAGTGTGATCAATCAGTAGAATTGCATCAAGACACAGCAAGCAGCAACACATCAAAATCTGCTAATTTCCTGGAGAAAGTGGAATGAGAAATGGGTATCAAGGCCATACACTTCTCTCATATCCAACCTAAATCCTCTGATCTATCGCTAATTTATTTGTTCACTTTTCGACTTTTAAAAAGCAGGTTGTCCAAACGTCGACCTACAACCTCCTTGGACTCGGGAAAACTGTTCGAGAGCAACGGGATAAAATATCTCTTCCAATACTACAAAAGGCTTTATTGTCTTTAAAATAAGGGTGTATAAAGATAGTGAAGAATAAGAGTTATCAAATAGAACAATTAAAACATAAAAATTTTTGGTAAAATATTTCTGTAATTGCAATGAAAATAGTCTAAAAAATCTGCAAACAACTGTTGTACTTAGCTTACAAATGTTATTAAAATAGGATTTCTCGTTGCTATTTCATCACAATATATATACAAAAATAAAATATAATAAAAAAAAGAGGAGATACTTGGTTGAAAAGTAATTCAATCTCTCAGAAATACATAAAATGAGATAAATTAGATAATATAAATAAAATTAGATAGTACAGATAAAGTAGATTGTATGATTATGCAAAATTATTGCCAGTATGGACAAATAATATCATTAGACATTTTATTTATTATTATTTACAGTGGCTCCCAAAAGTGTTCGTACACTTATGATTTCATAGAAATAGAGCTCTATATATTAATTAAAAGTAAACTTTCTGAATGAGATTTTAATAATAAGACCTATAATCTATTTGTAACAAAATAACATGAAATATTTTTAAAATATAGTAAAACTTTATTTTTAAGAAATTAATAATAAAAAAATGACAAACATTTTATCTCACAAAGTCTTTGTACACTTCAAAAAAATCGTGATATATTAGTAAGTATTTTCCTTTTTCTTTAAATTAATATTTCGTAGAATATCCTTTAGCATCAGCAACAGTTTTTAAATGTCTGGGAATATATTTTACTAGTTTTTTTGTCTCAATGATCGTCCACTTCTTCCATCATGACTGTTTTGAGTTCGCTTTTTGTTTTGATGTCGTGTTTTCGAACTTTAACCTCCAGTTCTTTCCAAATGTGTTCTATGGGGTTTAAATCTGGCGACTGAGGTGGAAAACCTGTGGACAATTAATAGAGACACCACAGGCGAACGTTGGGAGCTGTATGCTTAGGATCGTTATCATGATTAAAAATAATGTTGTTTCCAATACCCAAGTTTTGGGCTGATTATTTTAAATTATCTCTTAAAATATTTAAATAAAGAGAATGATTCATTATGCCATCAATAAATACCAACCAAATTATTTAGTCCTGATGCTGCCTTGCACCCCCACACAAGAACACTTCCACAGCCATGCATAACTGTTCTAAGTTCTTAGAATGAAAAGTTCATTTTTACTTCTCCATACAGTTATTCGACCATCGGAACCAAAAATGTTAAATTTGCTTTCGCCGGCAAATAGGACATTATTCCAGTACGTTTCGGGTGTATTTATCATTGATTTTGCGAATGAAAGCCTAAGTTTTCTGTTTTTCTCACTAACAAAATATTGTTTACGGGCAGAACGCCCATGTAATCCAGCTTCTCTGAGAACTCATCGAAGAGTTTCAGGTGAAATTGAAGTAAAAAACTTTGTATTAAATTCTGCAGAAACTTTTGCAGCACTCAAACGTGGGTTTTTCACAAATTTTCTAATAATAAATCTCTCATCACGTTTAGTTAACTTTCTCGGTCGACCTTTTCTTACCTTGTTTTCAATCCGATTTTCTTCTTTAAAGTGTTTTATCACATACTGTACTGTAGATTGGGATAAATTAACTAATTTTGAGATATTTCTAATTGATTTACCACTACTATGGTGAAAAATTATCAGTTTTTAAATGCTGTTCGTAATTTCTTTACCACTGTGACCCATTTTTCAATAATAGAATATTATGAAGTAAACAATAAAAAATTAAAGCAAACAATTTTTTTAAATACCAGCACAATGCAAAAATTAAAAAAAGTGGCAAATGATAATTCTAATTTTGATTTTATCCAAAAATATTTCAGCCTACAAAGACTTTTATGAGATAAAATGTTTGTTATTTTTTATTATTAATTTCCCAAAAATAAAGTTTCGCTATATTTTAAAAATATTTTGTGTAATTTTATTACAAATAGATTATAGATCTCATTATTAAAATCTCATTCAGAAAGTTTACTTTTAATTAATAGTTAGAGCCCTATTTCAATGAAAATCCTAAGTGTACGAACACTTTTGGGAGCCACTGTATTTATTATGTGTTCTGCCATTAAGCAGCGAAAGCGAAGGATGCTTCGAGGAGAACTTTTTAAGGGAAACT